AGTGATTAAGTGTTAAGCACAAAAACTTAACACTTAATATTAAGTGTAAAGTGATAACTTTTAACTTAATTTTAAATTAATGTAAATGGCCCACCCCTAGTGCAAAGCTCTACATTTTACATAGAACAGTTTATTGAAATAAGAAAAAAGGAATTTCTCATTGGTGCAGAAAAATGATCCTTTCGCAGCGTCGAAAATTGGTCGCTCAGAATTTTGCTTTTCTTTTAAAACAAAAGTACACAATTAAAATAAGCTTCACTTTGTAGATTGTAGAGCTTTTCACGCTGCATCTTGTGGTATACTTTGTGTTTTTTTATAAAAGCACATTAGGTGATAAAAATATGAGATAAGAAAAAAATGGTTTTTTCACAATGTCAAAAATTGGTCGTACAGAATTTTGGTTTTTTTTTGAAAACAAAAAGTACAAAATTAAAATAAGCTTTACTTTGTAAAAATTGTAGTTCTGTTCACGCTGCATCTTGTGGTATATTTCTTTTTAAACAATTCATTAAGTGTTGCAAAAATGAAATGGAGAAAGGTAATTGTTTTGTCCGAGGGAGACTACCAGTATCTTCCGAATGTTCTAGAGGTGAACCAAGTACAAAGTGACCAGCTGTATCCATTGCAGACATCAGAGTCCTAAGATTTTGGACTATGTTGGAGAGACATTTCAAAAAGTAGGATTTTTCAACGTTTTAAAAGCAGATTCCACTCTCGATTAGCCTCAGAGCATGTTCCTCCGCGAATGGTGGGTGGGAATACCTTGGAAAGCCCGGAAAAATCATAGCTTACACGCTTTTCTCAAGCATGGTGCAACATGGCCGGAATCTGATTTCACCGATGGATAGAGCACATCGAGTTGCACTTGGAACTCATCTGGAACACTTGGATTATGTTCCTAGGCGAATTGAGGGTGGAATTACTATCGTGTTCACTTTCGTCCTATGGATATGCAGCAGTATTTTTGAACCTGTGAGCATATGGTTTGGTGGTCTGAGAATCTGATTTCCGAATGAGATAGAGCGCGTCGAGTTGTACTTGAAACATGCTGCTGGGAGAATCAAGGGTGCAATTACTCGAATAGGGTTCTAACTTCGACTATGTATCGTAGGTATAAATCTTTTTTCATTCAATGTTAACAAAAAATTGTATAATTCGACTTCATCTTATTCTGACGAACTTAATTTTCGCGTTTCTCTTTCAAAATTGATGATATGCAGT